GTACGCAACCTCCATCGCTGTATGAGGCTCCGCACGGAAGCAGACCAAACACAATGCTGCCATCAACACCAAACGTACCAGCATCACCTGCTCCTACACCTCAGCCAGCACTACACCGATCACCGTACGAACAATACATGCCACCCTACCCAACGCCTGCTCCACACCCTCAATCGTACACACCACCGCCTGCAGTAGTGTATGCACCACCGATACCACCTGCACAATCCATACCACATCACAACCTGTACAAACTTCCACCCCAGAGGGAAACCGCTAAAGAAAAACTCCCAGCAGACAAGATTGTACAATTCTAAAAGGCATAGAAGAAGGACAACAACTACACAGGTTAACTGTACAACATCCTTACAGACAAAACAAGGATCTTTATTAATCTATGTCAACAGCTAGATATCCAGGAAACTCAGTACGCAGACATCTTTCCAGATATCCTAGAAGGTTAGGCGAATATGTACTATATGCACAACATAGGCCCTAGACATGACTAGAAGCATTTATACAACACCTTAAGCAGTCACTTTAACACTAATGTGAACTATAGCTAGTACTAGACAGACTAGACAACAATAACCTTTGCACAATGCTAACAAGAGAACCCTAACAAGAGTTTACATAAAGTCCTTAAAACAATAATTAACAAGCTCACGCTCACACAAAGGGCACTAGGAACAGAATTCTAAGGGGATGTTCTACTGCACACTGCTGTCGTACAAGCCTGTCAAGGACAACTAGAACTAGAACATGCCATGTTCACCATTAAGCCCTTATGCGAAGCCTTATTTAGTGACCTACAGGCATCACTCTAAGTTACTATAGACTAAAGGGCAAACTAATACCTCTAGGAACCGCCTAATGCATACTACACAGACTGCTAATACAACTCCACACAACAAGAGTTTGCACAACAAGAAGGAAGCTTCTCTTTGCGCAGAAGAGAACAACATAGAAGATCTCTATCTAGGTTTAGGCCACAATCTAGAGACAACTGCACACAGACAAAGAAGTGCTTTGTCTGCTACAAGGAAGAATGTTAGTTATTAAACCACCCTCACAATAACTGTACGCAAGCAAAGAACTAGTACGTCGCCTTGTACAAAGATTTCTATAATAAGACCCTATTACGCAAAGCTATCACCTTGTACATCTAAGACTTTAAAGGTTACCCTAAGGAAGAGAATAATTTGCATAATGCAGAGGAAATAGAATAGGAGGGTAAGGATGCTAAGAAAGCTGTTAACTACCTCACCTCTGCTGCCTATCTACACTGTGCAACAGGAGAGGACATCTACAGCATTAAACCTAAGAAATATGCTAAGCAGTTTATCCTTAACAACTAATACTGTACAGTATACTAAGGCGAACTATAAGACATAGGCGCAGTAAAGATCTCTACTGTTAGCAAGTCCTAACTTAAGGCGTACGTATAAGAGAACCCACGTACAGAAATTAATTAGACACCTAGCTAAACAGATATCAGCTTTAGAGGCCAGACACTAAAGGGATCAATTGGTACTGTACAAATCCAGAACCCAATTAGTCTAGTCACATACCACATCCTGGAGACTCCAACACCATTCCTGCTATTGCTGGCAGATGCTGACTAACTTAGGGCATACTTTAACAACATTCTAAATGTTATTGTACGCAAAGACAAAACTACTGTACCTGTTGTACAAAAATAGGGACACCCTTTCTTTAACTTTAGCAAGGAAGAATCTATGTCTTTCTTCACTAAATTAGAACTCCGCCGCCTCCACTGCCAATTTAGACACCCCCGCACAGAGAGACTCTAGAAGATGCTAACCAGCGCCGGCCACAACATTAATGCTGCAGTGCTGGAAGAGATTAAGAAGTTCTGCCACCTCTGCTAATTATATAACTAGGCCCTGCAAAGATTTAAGTTTACAATTAAGGATAACACCTACTTTAACTATAAGGTTGTTATTAACGTTGTACAAATTAATAATAGGGATGTCTTACATGTTATTAATGCAGACACATCATTTTAGGCTGCCACATTCCTAAAATCCATGTCCGCACAAGATACCTAGGATGCACTGTGCAAATGCTGGATCAACACCTATTAAGGACCCCTGGACTACATTGTGTATGACCCTAGTACAAACTTTGCTTTAGAGGATTTTTAAGCTTGTGCAAAGATTGTGGGAGCTACATGCAGGCAGATGCCTGTAGAAGCACATTAGGCAGTTAGAAAGGTTAAGCGCGCGCACGCACCTCTCTAACAAGCGTTTAACATCCTAAAGACTGAGCTAGGTGACTGTACAGATAATAAGGCCATCCTGCAGATGGCAGTTAAGGCTCTAAACAACACAGCTGGCCCACACAGTCTAGTACCCACGCTGCTAGTCTTTAGGGCATACCTAAGAATTAACCTAGACTCCCCACTATTGCTAGACATTATCGCACAAGCAAGCGCTGTACAAAAGGTAATAAAGATACTTTAAAAGAACTATGCAAGAGTAAACATTAATTGTGCAATTAACACCTGTAATAGCCCTACAACGCACAAAGTTCTTAACCTCCCCCTTAGCTTAGAGATTATGGCATAGAGAGAGAAGGAAGGCTAGACTGGCCTGTACAAGATTAAGAGCATTAAAGGGAGAGACGTTATTATTAAGAGGGAGAATAGCCTACTAAAGCTCTAATGTACGCAGGTTAAACTGTACTATAGAGAAAAGGAGGAAGACAACCTACCTGCAACAGATGACCTAGATGAACTAATCCCTGTACAAAGGGATCCCCTGAAGAAGAGGAAGAGAGGACAGCCCTGCAAGAATGTCGCAGAGGCAGAACTAGAGCCCACCACAGACCAAGCCCCTCAGGATAGCGATGCCGCACCAGTGCAAAGGGAAGATATAGATACTAGGAGAAGTAAAAGGCAAAGGAAACCTGCACAAAGTCTAGACTAGGTATTCCTGACCTAGAAGGAGAAGGATAATTAGGCCTTGTCTATTAAGCTCTGTATAGACAGTGTGATCACTACACCTAGAGAACTATTTAAGGAATTAGACTGCACAGAGATGGACACCCTAATTGCTAACAGCACTTTTAAGGTTATAGCGTACAACCTAATAAGGCACAAAGGTTAGATTTTTAACCTCTGCCTTATATAAGAAGTAAAAGGCAAAACAACCTAACTATACAAGAAATCCCGCCTAGTGTTTGCTAGCCACTTAGACAAAGAGAAGGGAGAAATCCTCACCTAGTTACTAACTATCTAGAGGATGAGCCAGAGACTACTCCTAGCTATAGGAGCAAGCCTAAAAGCTACGTACAGAATGCATTTTAAACTGCGCGATATTACATAAGCATACATCTAATTAACAGATAAGCTTATGCGCACGCTGTACACAAAGCCACTAAAGGAGATGCGCTAGAGCTTTCCACTAAATACAATACTCTAGGTTGTACAACCCTTGTATAGAGCTGCTAAATCAGGACTGTATTAGTTTAAGACATATTATAACCACTATAAAGAAAAGCTACACATGCATATCTTTTTGTACAACCCCTGCCTCTTAATTACTAATAAAGGAGAGCACACCTTTAGTATTACTAGCCTGCAGATAGATAACACTTTAAGCATTATAACAAAGAATTTTGCGCAAAGAGAAGAGGAGGAACTGCAGAAGGCAAAGTTCCGCGCAAAGGGCAAGACTATTCTAGCAGAGAAGCAGCCTATTAAGTTTAACAGCAGAAGGATTAAGCTTACGCACAACACAGTAGTCCTTACTTAGAAGGGACAAGCAAGCCACCTTTATATAATTAACCTAGAGGACAAGGATGCCGCACAATAATATGTTAAGCAACGTGCGAGAGGGGCATACATTGCATCTGTGTGTTAACTAGAGGCAGCATTTAACCTCTCTATTGCTGCACAAACTACAGACCCTTTGCACAACAATATTAACACACTTAACGCACAAATCTAATAGCAGATAGACAACAGTAAGCGCAGTCTTACCTTCCTACTATTACAGCTTAATTGTGCAAAGCTGTTTATCTTTACAGATAGATTATTTGCTAACAACAAAGACCTTAGCTTACAGCTAGGATTCTTAATTGTATTAGGCAATAAAAACTGTACAGAGCAAAGCAACTGCTTTAAAATACTAGGCAACATTGTACACTAGAATTC